TTTTATGTTACCATTTCATTTTTCCTAATTTGGGATTTTCTCACTGTGATGAAGACGTAGCAAAACAGCGGAACGGACATTTGAATGCACGTGTTTCTTCCGCCAATAGTTCACCGTTACACTCGCTTTCAAATTCCAGCGAATCTGCACTGATTTCCGGCTTTTCCTAACTGCTGAACTGAGTCCCCTTGGTGGCGCTGTGAAGTAAAACGACACATTCACAGATGTTGTCTTACCAAAACTCTCCCTACAATGATAACATTTAAGAATGAAGTAAATATACTTACTTTATTCTTAAAGAAAATATCTACCACTAATGCTAAGAGACTCTTTCCTTTTCTTTCCAAATGTGATTCTTAATAACCCCACATAAAATATTCTTTATCATTCTCCTACATATTTCTACTTTTCATATATCCTCTCTGATCATTTAAATGCATCCATTTATCTATTTTTGATTCTTGTCAACATTAACCTTTTTCCATTTGTTTTATCAGGTCAATATTTGATGAAGTAATTAGAATATACATAGATTTATTTCATAGCTAATTTGCACAACCTGCTTAACTTATTTGAATGTTTTTCTGTTGGATATAAGAGATTTTAAGTATATATTTCTACCTATGATTTTTCTAAAACTATTATTACTATTAATATTATATATAATATAATAATATTAACGCTATTACTTTTGATATTACTATTTTCTAATACCTTTTACATTATTATGTTTGTTCTGTGTGCTCATGAGTTTAGTCTTAGCTTTCCTTTCAATAAAGAATTTTTTAAAAATCGAGCGCCTGCTACCAGAACTAGGAGAGGAGGGTTGCAGTTCTGCCTTTGGTCCGCAGGTGGCAGTGTTTCTTCAAAGAATTTCATATTTTTTATATTTTTTGATTTAGTAACGAGCCCCTCGCTTATGTGTCCAAAACATAAGTGTAAATAAAATATAATCTAAATTAGAGAAACAGGAGGGGAGTGATAGGAGATAGGAACCCCCTGATTCATCCTTTCTAACCAAACAGCATCATTCTGAGAACACAGTGCCACCTGGCGTCAGTATTCGGTATCGTCGCAGAAATGCGTCCAGAATACAAAAAGTTAGTAATTAATTGCATCTCTACTTAATTGCATCTCTACCTGATTTAATGTTTTAATAGAATAAAAAAAATCAATTGATCATTGATCCAAAAAAAATTTCTATTTTTTCTACTTTTTTGTGTGTTTTTTGGATTTGTTGGGAGGAAAAACACTTGCTTGTTTCTAATTAGAATATTAAATCTCCGATATGCGCATTAAAAATATTGTATTAAATAGAAATGTATGTCCTGTTTCGGACTTTTTTAAACCTGATGTAAAACAGGCTGTTTCATGTAACTGCTTTCAAATATGGTGCTTTTATTTTGAAACAACCCGTTAACTCACAGTAAAAGTTTTCGGAGTTTTTTCTTCTCATGACAAAATGTTGTTTTTCATTTTTGGTAAAGTTTTATCCCAACATAATAAAACACTTCGTGTTATTTTATTTTTTTTAAATAAATTATTTTAAGAAAAAAGTGAAACTAATTAAACCATCCAGCCCCGGAAGTCCTTGGAGGTGGTGCCACGTCAGAGCTTCAGCTGTCAGCAGCGCCTCGATTCCTGCAGCTTTCTTCTCT